ACACGGGGAGCCGAAGCCCTGGCTGAAGGGAGCTGCCTCCCTCCCCGGGGCTGCTGTGGATGGACAGACGGATGGACAGATGAGATCCTCTCATTTTGTGGTTTATTTGGCCGGAGCGAGCGGCGGGGGCAGGGGACCTGCTGTCCCTTCAGTCCTTCTCGTCCCCGTGGGTGATGACGTAGCACAGCGACTTCTAAGTCAATGTTCCCTGAGACATCGACGGGCGTCACCGCGAACATCTGCTCCACCTGCGTGGGGACACGCGCCCGGGGGGCTGGGACGGGTCCCTGCGGGGTGCCACATGGGGATCACAGGGATGAGGACTTTGTGGGACACATGGGGACCTTGGGGACATGGGGGAGCGGGGTGGGGGGCTGGCACCCCACAGCGGGCCCTGCTGACGCCGACGGCGGAGGTCTATGGGGGGACACGTGGCAATCTTGGTGACAGGGCCCCAGTGGGGCACCTGGGGCCCTCAGGGCTGGGGTTTGGATCACAGGCATGGGGCCAGGCACACGGCGATCTTGGGGACAGGGTCTGTGCAGGGTTGACATGTGGCGATCTTGGGGACCTCGGGGATGGGGTTCGGGATCATAGGGATGGGGCTGTATGGGTTGGGCACACAGGGACCTTGGGGACAGGGTCTCTGGGGGGCCACAGGGATCTGGGGCTGTGGGCTGTGTCCCCCTCCCCACATTTCCCTGTGGGCAGGCAGAGCCACGTGTCCTGGGCACACGCTTCCCCTGAGGGTCCTGTTGTCCCCCCTCATGCAGGGACACTGGGAGGGGACAGGGTGGGCAGGGGCCAGCACAGGGGAGGGGGATGGGGATGGGGATGGCAGCGGGAGCCACCTCACCTCCTCTGGGGAGAACTTATCTGCCTGGGTCAGAAGGAGTTGCTTAAACCTGTGGGAAGAGGGAATGGCTGAGCCGAGGGTCGGCTCCTGCCCCATCCTGGAAGATGCAGGATCCGGCCAGGTGCCCTGAGGGGTCCCTGCAGGCCCCTGCTCACTCATCCTTGTTCACAG